GACTTTCGTAAGTTAGACTTTCGTTCATCTTCGTAACAAGGAATCTATTTTTAATTAAATATGAGTGAGTCTGCCACAACTACCACTTTGACACTTCAAAAAAAGCATAAAGAGATTATAAAACTAATCCATATCGATTGAGTGTTTTAGTGCAAATTTGTATGATGAACATTGGTTTTAGGCTTTTATTCACATATAAACAGTAATCAAGGCTCAAATCATTTATGATAAATAGAAGTATTGATGTGTGAGAAGTACCAATGAGGTTAATTTTTGTGTTTCGCAGCACAGGGTTTGTTCTAAATATGAGGATGAGTAATTGATGACAGAATTAAAATTTGAGATTATTTTATAACATTTTCAACCTAAAATGGCTTTCACAGTCCACTCTACATCCATAATATGATGTGTTTCCAAGTGAAACGTTTATCTACAGAAACGTTCATAAGGTTTTTGAATACGGTTATTCAGAAAGGCCACATTAAACAGATCAAAAGTAAAAGTAAAGAAATGTATAATGTTGCAAGAAGATTATTTAAATCCTGTTCTTTTGAACAGTGGTTTATACTTGCCTCGCTTAATTTTCAGATTTCTCTCTTTTTCTTCCCCTCAAGTTACAGTAGTTATACTTTTAGTCTAAAGTTTGTCTATTTTTATATAACTTTTTATATCAGCAGCATGGTTCTTTGAGACACAAAGTAAACAAACATATTAAAAAATAAAATAAATGAGCATTACCAAAAACAAAACTGAAATATCAGAAGTATAAAATGATGAATTATTAAAATGAAAGTGCAAAGTAAAAGTGTCTACCTCTCCTCTTTCGCTCTCATTGGCTATCTTTCTCCTTCTGTTGAGCCTGTTTGCATTCCATTATACTTCACTATTTCTTCTTTCCTGAAAAACTACTTGATTATGCCATTTTTCTAGAAATTTGCTCCGGTTGACAATCCACCATCCTGATTTTTCAATTACGGACACTTTCCTAATCTTATTCCATCCATAAAAAAGAAAAGAAATAACTCTACAAATGAGATGAATTCAGAATGAGGGCGACACAGCGTCTAAATGCACGTTTCTCGGAAACCGACATTGTCTTTAATTTACCGCTCATTTGAGTGCTGTGACACGTCCGTGCCTCTTTATTCGGCTAAACTAACAGTTCATTTCATCCATAATAACCAGCATCATTGTCGTCATTTTGATTTAGACGAGCTGGAATCCCATCAGCAAATGAATTTTGTTGATGGACTACTACACTCCCCTTCTCTGTTTTCTCCGCTCCAGTCCGATTTGACAAATTCAGTTCAGGGTGAGCCCCCCTTTTGCTTCACCTTGAAAATTCACACAGGCATACATGCTAGGATTTGATTAGTGGATGCTTGGAGGCATGCGGCTTGTTGATTAGAATTGGACGAGGACTGCATTTTGATGGGAACAGACATTACACTGACTCTTGCTTTCTCTCTCGCCACATAAACTCTCGCTCTTCCTCTGTATTGCCCTCGCATTTTCTCTGCGAACATGCTTTGATTCTCTGCTTGACTCCAGTTTTTTCGCCGACTTTCACTACTCTGTCGTTCCCTCATCAGCTCCATCCTTTCTCCCTCTTCATCTCCTTCTCTCATGATCATTTGTTTCCTGCCCCTCTCCTCCCAGTGGGAAGCCCCTTTCTTGGCCATTGGCAGGATCTCTAATCAATATGATCAGGGGAAAAGCTGGCGAATGAAAGAAACCAATTCAGCTACATATTACTCTGCTCTCTGCTGATTATTTTGTTACTATGGTACATTTACCTCTGTGGTGAGATGTGATTAACCAGATCTTAGGGGGCCTGAGCCCTTAACTCCCATCGCAATCAGCCGCAATACCTAAAAGACTGGCCAAGATTTCATCTTCCTTTCACACCTCTCAACGACTACAAGTTAAATATGTTCAGAGAGCCTTATTCTGTCTACGCACACCCAAGAGACCCCATGTACTGTAAATCATTACAATCCCTTTGGAGTGGCTGAAGCAAGGGGAAGTTACTGAACAGAAAGAGATAAAAGAAGGCATGGGGGAGTGTAAAAAGAAAGATAAGTATGTAGATCCATATTTAGGACATGGCTTCTATCAGGTCCCTTCATCATAGCTTCTCAGCTCTCTGGGTTCCAGCTACGGTACAACAGCATCCTTCCAGGTTGGTGAAGCCATAGTTTTGATCCTCCTACAGTTTATTTGCATATAGGGAATGACTTGAATGGGTTAAATGGTGACATGTATTCATAGTAGTGTTTTCAAAAATATTGATATTTTGATATGTATCGATACTGAAATATCTGAAATTATTCTAATACTCATTTCTGCAGTATTGATACACTTATACCAGCTGCGCTTAATTGCTCTCCTCTCTGACAGAGAGTTCACACACCCACCACCTCTTATTTATGCTGCGTTCACGTGCTATGGAAAATAGGATATTTACCAGTGTGTTGCGTTCAAGTGCTTTTGTTGTCGTAATGTGGTAAGAAAATGGAGATCCAGACCTGTTATTTAGCTAAAACTATTTTAGATTGCTTAAGTCATCTGCAACAGCAAGAAAATAATTTATCAAAACTCAAAAGGTAAATAATATGCTGTATATTTTCTAGATCATGAATAGTATATATTTTTACCATTCACTATTCTCGCGGTGCTCTCCGCCATTTTGAAATAGTCAAAGGTTATCTCTTCTCGGCAGCTCGTCCATCAAAATCCTACGAGTTGCCCAGTGGTAAATACCACATGAGGGGGTGTTCATGTGCATTTTCCATGTCGGCTTTTGGTATTTACCATAATTACCATAGCACATGAAAGCACCATTAGTAGTCTCATTCACTCCGGTTAAATAGTGTTGATTCTGGTGCGGGATTGTGCATAATTCTAAAATTTCCGCAGATGTCGGTCTCCTATCTGAAGCGCACACACATAATAAAGCCGCCCCTGACATAAAATTGCTGCTTTTGCTGCTTATATATATTATTGGAATATTGCTTGATGCTGTAACCTAGCGTTATAGGCAGAATGACACCGGATGTGGCCTGTTAATGTTTGCATCACAATAGCTGTTTAACCTAGACACAAAAAAGCACCGGTTACTATATCTATATCTATATCAATATATATCTATATCAATATCTATCTATATCAATATCTATCTTTCTATCCATCCATCTATCCATCTATCCATCTATCCATCTATCCATCTATCCATCTATCCATCTATCTATCTATCTATCTATCTATCTATCTATCTATCTATCTATCTATCTATCTATCTATCAATCATCTAATTGCAGTATGGTTGCAAAGTATTTTACCTTTTGACTTTTGCTATTTCTTGATGAAACTGTCACGAGGACTCATTTGGGTGAAACTGTGGTGATATCAATCTTGCCACAGCTCAGCTAGGAGAGCACTTCCTCTCAGTCTTATCGGACTGTCTCTGTATTGCTCTCCGTTTTACTTTAAACAACATTATCTCTCTCCCCCCTCTGTCTTTTCTTCAGTCCACCTTAGTTTCTAGTTTCCGGGTTGTGGTCAATTTAGGTTGTAATTTTGTCTCGAAGCACACCCACTCCTCTTGACACTAGCTTTCTGAAAATTGGCTATTGATGCTCACTGCTCTTCTACACTTACACTGAGGCAATTTTACACAGTTCTGTGAGACCGCACTCAACTCAGCCTACTATGACTGACATGATCAACAGCTCATAATATGGCAATATGGCTTTTCTCTTGTTCTTACCTGCCTGATTTTAGTGGGCTTAACTGCCAACTTATCAGTGATTCTGAAGTACTTGAACATTTTCAATATGCTTGAAAATTATGTAAAATTGTACTGTTTTTAGGTGTTTGTGGAATTAACAAATAAATTGATGGATAAATGCTTGCATGCATGAAAATTCTTACCTGGATTATTGAGTGGAAGTTTACTTTGAAATATCATTTTTAAATGTTAATATGAGTTTGTTTTTTTTTAGATCAAATTTGGATTTTTTTAAATATATCATTTTTAATATCAGCCATTTATTATTGGCCATGACCTTATTCGCTTATTGGTATCTGATATAATTTAGAATTGTGTTGCTTTAAAAGATATATCAGGCCTGAACAAGGTTTTTCACCTATACTTATAGATGAGGTCATACACTATTATGATATTAATAGTATAATGGTATATTAATTACATATACAAAATATTTTATTGTAATTCTATTTTTTTTATAATCATGTTACTACTGTTGCATCCAAATACAAGCTAATGTTAGCAGAAACATCTGTTACAGGCTGCAGTTGTAATTAAATGAACTCTGTAACCTGCTTGCTACACACAATGGGTTAATCGGTTTGTTTATGCTTATTGAATTCCCTCATTATTAATCAATGCCTCGCTCGACACGCTTCTCCTTTCGTTATTGGAGTTACATTTCCGCATTGGCAATTCCCACAGACAATAGAGGCCAAATCAATGGAGATGTAGAGCGCGAGATTGTGTCTGAATGGAATTAAAATAAACATCTTTGCTCTATTAGCAATGCCTTTCACTTTTAGCACCAGAGGGAGAGCTTAATTTGTTTAAGAATCTAGTGTGGAATCTAGTAACGTTAAATAGGCTCTGACAAACTCCACTCTGATGCAGCTTGTTGACATCTATGTTTCAGTCCTGGTATGCAATACATTCTGGTTTATTTGGTTTAATTTAATATACATACTTCAGTTCTTCTTGGATCTTTACCTTGACTGTTCCAAGCTGGTGGAATGACCTACCTAACTCAACCCGAAATGCTGAATCTTTTTCATCAACACTTCACCCATTAATACTAACACCTACTATTCTATATATCTATAAAAACATTGAAAACAAACAGACATACATGGCTTGATTGGTTCTATTGCTCTCCTCATTTGTTAGTCCCTTTGCATCTGCTACATGGTTAAATGTAAATGTACCCTAACATGTTTTTTCCTCCTTCCAGTTGGGTGCAGAGTTTTGGCCATGAGGGTCTGGGCCTCCTGTTGGATACGCTGGAGAAGCTCCTCCTCAAAAAACAGTAAAACAAATTCCATTATATTTGTTCAGTAAAGGCTTCCTACTAGCTTTTAAGTGTACTTTACCCTCAGCATGAACCCTGAGCTTTGTGCAGTTTAACTAAACTCTGACTCTGTTATTGTCTTCTACATCCCACTAAACACCTCCTGCTTTCACTAATTCTTTCTATCGTTTGTGTTTTTTTTTTCCCAGCCAGGAAAAGGTGGATAAGAAGAGTCAACACAAAGTCATTCAGTGCCTGAAGGCCTTTATGAACAACAAGGTAATGACGTCACTGAGCTGCGGGTTCACTTTATTACTACCTTCCACTTGAGACAACTCTCATGTCATATTGGACAGTTATCAATTTTCAAAGACTACATAGAATCTGCAGCTAAATATGGTTGTGACTTCTTAAAATGGTCTTCTTCTGTAAAAATGGGTTTTGCTTGCACATTTTTCAGCTGCCCCACATCAAAAGACCATTCAGTTTGTATGTAAAGCCATTTATTTTTTATATTTGCTAGAAATAATATCTTTCAGTTTTGTTTCTTTACAATATATTGTAAAGAAACAAAACTGAAAAAGATGATATTTCCAGCAAATATAAAACATAAAATAAATGGCTTTATTTTTTATGTAAAGCAATCATTGTCATTTTTTACTCAATAGTGACAAGTCTAGAAAGTCTAGAATCACATTTAATTAAATGCCACTAATGATGGATATGTTGAATGAAGATTTTTTTAGCATATTTATCTGCTGTAATTTCACGAGTTTCAGATGTTCTTTTTTTGAAGTAGAAATCTCATTATTACCCTAAAGCACCAGCTTCAAACAAGACTCATTCCGACCTCTGTTGTTTGTCAGCCGACCCCTTCATCAAGTGGCATGTTACGTGTCCGCTAACTCACTGTGCATCCGCTTCTCCCTGTTGGATGCACTTACCTGCGTCAGCTTTCAAATGGTCATGAGCGATAAGAGCAGAGCTTCAGATGAAGGGGCAGACAGCCACCACTCTGAACTTGGGAGGGGGTTACTCCACACGGCTGAGGTGGAGAGGTCTTTGGAGGCTTTTGATGATTTGCACACTCCTGTTAGAGAGAGGCGTTAGAAGTGGATCTCCAGTGGTGTCTCTGATGTTGTTGAGATAGCCCGGGGTCTGAGGAGTTACCCACGCCTTGTGCACACATACATACACACGTACAGATAGAGATCTGTGGTGTTTTGATCCATGCTCATTCACTGGGTATGTGGCAGATGTTAGACAGACATGTTGTCTGGTGTCAACATATCCCATGGTGTTTGAGTGAAGTTGAACCGATCTTATCTGCTAAACCTGTTAGCAGTCATCTATCAGCCTCGCTAACAGGTCTGACTGTTTTGTTATGATGGCATTCATCAATGGTATTTTCTTAAATAAGCATTACTTTTACAGAGCATCAATGTTAAAAATGTAACATTTTAAACATTTTAAATGTATTTTTCTTTATGAGTTTGAGACCACTGATGAATTGAGTGCCGCCAATAGGTGGTTTGCAATCACGTGATTGTGTTGACATGCAGATGGGGGGCAAGGAGTGAGAGAGCACAATGGACGAGATGGAGGAAAATCCGTACTGTACTACTTTAGACGCTATTACAAGAGAAATATATAAACAGAAAATCGAAACATATGTTGGATCACTTCCTTACGTTATGAAGAGGACCGATTTTCAACTGAATTGAGAGATTTGCCTGCCATCGAGGCTGTAGATATCAGCAACTAACTTGTCTTACAGACATACTTTGACTTTACAAAGTTCGGAAACTTGTATGTTACACAAACAGCCACATAAGTGTATTTAAACACCTGAATAATGTAGTTGTAAGCCACATAAATAATGTATTAACTCACATTTGACGAAGTGATCACTGCACACACACACACACACACAAGCATTTTCCCATTCGGCTCCTCCCGACCGCAGACGTAGGTTTGCAAGGCATTTTTCCCTGTGTTTTTCTGACAAATTCTTGTATTTTCCACCCTTATGAACAACAACTTTTGGCACACGATAAAAACTCCTCGTGGTTTGATCGATTTGAGCAACCATAAACGACGCAAAACATAGGCATTTTGAGTGTGTTATAGTGCTTCCTAAATATAGAAAATCACTTCCTGCCCTCCATCTGCATTTCGCGCCATGGCAACGCCGTGGCGTGACGTCACATGAAAACAAGCTATTGATTGTATTCGATTGTGTCTCGTCATCAGCTCTAGTTGACATGCCATTAATTTAAAATGGAAACAAAGCAATTTAAGTGCATCAGTGAATATTTCAGTTGGAAATCTGGCATGGTCACCCACTGAGGAAATATAAATGGGTTGTGGCCATTGTTGTTTTCCTGAGGCCTGTTTCTGTGGGATCAAAAGAAAAACGCTCACTGTGTCTATTTCTGTGTAGTCATTTTGGGAATTAACTTGTTGAAGATCCCAGTTTTGGTTTCTGCCAGTTTCAAAATCTACTACACGTACCTCTCAGCCCTAAAGGTTTGGTCTAATCCCAAGCACCGGATAGATGCTGATAGCCTTATTTGCCCAGACGCCTGTCACCGCTCCAGACCTCTTACTTTAACCCAGCAGCATCATGGGACGTATTCTGGTCATGTTGCCTGCCAGCCAGGTGCTCCCATCCATCTGTCACCTTCTCCCAACGAATTAAGAGAAAAAATGGCTCAAATATGTTTACATCCATTACTGTGCGTAAACACTGTGATAACGCGTTATCTCCCTTGTGTGCCTCTGAGGCGGGAAGGATGTTTTCATACTTAAGTTTGCATAAAAAAAAAAACAGCATAAACATCTGCTCTGAATGTCAAGAAGTCTGAGCTATGGCAGTCGGAGCCATTAATTGGCATGAGTTATAGAGCAATTAACACAACTTGGTGTATTTGCTGTCCTAAAGCTTTTTAGTTAGAAATGAATTCACTCAGCATGATTCATGTCTTGAAAATTGCTAAACTTGAGTCACAAGTTGTTTTTGTGTTGTTGCAAGATGGCAGCCAATTTGGGTCTTCCAATTTTAGCATGTCATTAAAACCCATGTTTATATTTGTTAGTTTCTAAAAAAGCACAATTTCAAAATTAGTCTTTCCATTTTTAACAATGAGACAAGTGTATCTGTTATACCTAAAGATTGACAGAGTGGAGATCTTTTAAGTTACATCAGAGTGTTTAGAATTAATGAGAAATTTGTCCTGTGGTGTTGGCGCTGCGGTCGTCATTAACCATACCCCCGTTTTTTATATTTTATATTCTTCCCTCTTAGACTCCTTGCTTCTCTCTGCGGGTCTTGATCCACTCTTGTCGTTCTAGACCCCCAAGGCTTTTCTGTCCTGTGACTGTGTTCTTCATTCACCTTTATGTTTGCCATTTCTTTATTTTTTTTTCACCCTCCTCTCTCTTTCATGCTACTATTAACATATCCCTGATCGCAGTTTTGTCATTACTTCAAGGACAGAGCAACAGACAGCTACGTTATGCCCTTCTTTATTTCCTCCACTTTTAAAAAGTCACCTCTAATTTAAAACTAAAACTCTTCTCCAAAATGACTACTCTGAATTTAATGTGTCCCTCAATATTTTATATTTATTCCTTATAGCTTAATGTTTACAATAATTAACCCTAATTTTGATTTATATTTTGTTGAATATGGTTATTGTAATGTTTTTTTTATTATTATGTTTTATTTTAAAGCTGCAATCCATAGCTTTTTTTGGGTTAAAAATGATCCAAAATACATATTTGAGAAAATGCATAACCAGCCAGTGTTCAACGCTATCTGCTTGCCGTAGCTCGATTCAAAACGGTAAGCTTGTAATAATGTTTTTAATTCCAGTGGTACTGGTTAATTTCCGCGGGCGATTCAAGCATGTCTTTGCTTCATTGCGTCCCATCTGTACACATAAAGGAGGAGTCTCGGCTAGTAGGATGTTGGAGGTGGAAATTTATAGACTTTTCTCACTGTACTTGATATAAAGAAACGTATCAGTTTGATGGCGGGTCCAGAAAGGTTCAAACGACTAGCAACAGTGACAATAGATTCACCTGCTATAAAATACAAAAGACTTTGTTCGGACTTCGGAGTGGCCACAGAAAAAAAAGAGACTACAACCGGACCCATGCGAAAACAAGGATACATATCGGAAGGACATTACATGTAGTCACGCAATGCTGATGTTGGTAACAATAACAATTTGAGAACAAAGTATAATTAGCACGGTTTTGCTTGATAAATGATTTTTAGATTTAATCAGCGCGATTTACTGCAATGTCAGAACCAGAACAAAAGTGGATGTTTCTTACTCGTTCAGATGACATTTTCTGGTGAAAATTATTATGTTGGTCATACTTCCAAAAAGAATAATCTGTGATTCTGAATTCCAGTATCGACATTGGCGCGATGATTGACAGCTGCACACTCTCCCCAAACATTGGCCCTCATTTATCAAAAGTGCGTGCACCAAATTTCCACCGTACACCTTGCCTACACCCAAAAAATATGGACGTTGGCGTACGGCACGCTCAAATCCTACACCAGCTCAGGAGGTGATGTACGCACATTTTGAGTTAGTGAGGAAATGCGTATAAAAATTACTGGCACCACAAAACGCACTGACAAACTAAGAGATATGATATATATAAACAAAAAAACAACATAGTAATTATAAACTTTAAAAACAGTGTTTATTTTTGTGTGACATGGATTTCAATGTTTAATTTCTGTGACTTTACCAAAGCATTTGATTTGTAAGCATAACTATTCCTTCAGTTGCGAGCCTGTGTGCTTTAACTGACGTTTCAGGATTATCCCCGGCAGGTGTGCATGGACTGGGTTCGGTAATGAAAGGATTTCAATGACCAAAAAAATAATTCAGACTGAAAAAAAAATAAAAAAAAATACATTCTTCTTCTTTTAAATGATGATAATAATAATACAAATAATAATAAGAATATTACAAATTGTCATGCAATTATTAATGTGAATGAATGGTACTTCACATCACATCACATCATCATCATCATCATCATCATCATCATCATCATCATCATCATCATCATCACTATTATACATGTGATCATAGGGACGTTCATTGTACACACCAATACATGTGACATGATTCGAAATTGCATGCTAATACAAAAGACGTGCTGTAAAATAATGCATTTGTGCTAGGTCATTTCGGCTCCACGTCATAGAAGTTTCTCTTCTTTGCCGTCTTCCGTGTGTACAAGGCGTAAAATGAGGGCGTGGGGGAGCGGAGACTTGAATATTTAGGGGCGTGTTATTCTAATGACGATCGTTTTCGGGCCGCGGGATTTATCAAGAGCAGGCATTGCGTACACCTGGATTTCAAAGGTACGCACAGCATAAATCAGGCGGTGAGAGGAGTGTAAGCATAATCTTACGCCAACATATACACCCGTTTCTACGCAAGAATGATAAATGAGGGCCAATGTGTTAATCCTGTCTGTGCGGTGTCAAACTATAACTCGCGTAAAGTTGATAATTCCGCGAATGACTGCAATGGCAGATTTTGAACAGAGATGGCGACAAAGAGGAAAAACTGCAGACTGCAGCTTTAATATTTCAGAAATAGTAATATTCGTTTACTTTTTTTCCACCATGCACTTCTGTTGGCTGTCCTTTTTAGCCCTCTGTTTTGTGCAGTAATTCTTATTAAGTCAGATTCACTAAATTGATATTTTACTAAGATGCTGTAGATTTAACAGTGTCACTGCAGAATAGCATTGCAGGAATTACTGATTTACACCAGGTTATGAATTACATAACTTATTCTGTCTGTCTGCAGTATGGACTGGAGCGGATCCTTGGGGAGGAGACTAGTCTGGCACTGTTGGCCCAAGCCATTGACCCTTGTCAGCCGGCCATGATGACAGATGTGGTTAAACTGCTTTCTGCAATCTGCATTGTGGGAGAAGAAAATATGTAAGCCTCCCGACTTGCTTTTTCCAGCCTTTCAGTTGAAATCAAATCTGGTTATGATGCAATTATTGTTCTTTCTTATTCAGCCTAATTTTATTATTTAATTCAATTATATAGTTTCTGTTATAGTTTTATTCCCCCATTGTAATATTTAACCTCTGTATTCTCAAATAGGGTATCAAGTATTTATTTAATATATTTTGTGTGTTCAGTTGGTTTGTTGAACTTTATATCATGGCATCATAATTATATCATGGCACCCTTTCTGCTTACCAATGTTTATACATCAATACAGCCTTGTACATACCATTGCAGATCTTTTTTCCTTTTTATGTGTTTTTTGTTTGGGCTTTTTGCATTGAAATTATAAGCAGATCATACATATAGTTTGGATGCATAAAGGAGTCATCAGGACTGCTTCATCAAAACACTCTTTTTTTTTTTAAATATCAGCTTCATGTAAACAATGAAAAGGTGCAAGTGTTTTTTATGAAAAGTATATCAGGAGCAGTAAGTGCATTTAAAGTGCTCTCCATACCAGTGAGAAGTGTGACTCCTATTTTCTCTTTTTTTTTCCTGTACAAAGTTTGGAGAAGGTCCTTGAAGCCATCACCACGGCAACAGAGGGAAGAGGGGTGGCCCGCTTTAACCCTATCGTCCAAGGCCTTAGTGTTCGCTCCGTCCAGTTACAGGTAAAAGTTCTCTGCTCCTCATATGTCTTCTTGTTCACTCATCTTCTGCTGATACATCCCTTTCAATGCCCTCATGACCTTGTATGGTAAAATACACACTCAGCCAAATATACACATTTATACCTATACTAAATGCAAAAGAAAGTGAAAATGCTTTCAGGTTGAACTGGTGCCACTTTCTAAAGAAAACGAAAATAGGATCGCTGTGATCTGTGATTTTGAAGGGAAAAATATATATATATTTTTCATATGCACAGACACAAATATGAAATATTGGAGAAATGCAATGATGCTTTTAAATACAAAACTTAGACGCTAATAGGTGGCGGCAATTGACTGTCTTAATGAGTGAGTCATTAAGTTATTCATTCAACCGATTCATTCAAATGGCTATTTAATATGAGAATGAAGCAAAAATAAATCTCATCTGAAAATTTTTGGTGGCCGAAGTTTGGATGCCTTCCTCTCTCACTTGCCCCTTCAAAAAATCCACTTGAGCCTGACAAGTATTTTTGTTAAGCAATGAACTATATTCATATAATTTTAGATTAATATATATATATTACTAAATTGAATGGGAATTAATGTATTAAAATAATAATAATATGCATTATTATTTCAGTGGTTGCACAAATATCACTGTTAAATATGACTGTATATTAATTAACACTTCAGTATAAAACAAACCATTCTTACAGTGCTGTTTCCTCTATTGTAACAGACTGGTGTTGTGTGTATTTCTCAGGAAATACATTTTCTTTATATAATATTTCATTTTGAACGTTTCCCTCAGAGATTTTAGTGCTGCTAAATGGTCATGCTGAGATGAAGCACCAGCAGTTTTGTTGGTAGTGACTTCAATATAACGATAAAGTCACATGCCCTGAATCACCTCTAAAATGCAATTTACACTTTAAAATGTATAGAGGCCTACACTAAAAAGGATCAGAAAACAAATGACCAAGTCTGCTTGTTAATGATCTTTGGTGGTATTTTATACAAGAACACATTGCAAAAGCTTAAACAAGTAAAGATACTCTGTGTTCCTAAATAAATTTAACGTTATAAAACTAACTTAATTTTCTGCCCCTTTCTGACAAATCAACATGACCTTTTGTTTAGCCAGCATGCTTAGGGGCTCACATTTTTAAGATTAGTGTTGCCAGTTAAAGCACTCAATTTGTATTGTAAAGCACAAACTACCATTAGACAAGCATCCTTGATAAGATTTAAAATAATTCCATCAATAATTTCTAATTTAACTAGGGATATTTAGTCCTATGCCTCTAAATAAGACAGAAGTGCACCTTGAGTCAGGGTCTGTAAACCACAAATCTTATAATGGACATGGACAGTTTTTATTTAAGTACTCCAACAGTAGAACATCTGTCCGTCTGTTATTATTTCTAGTCTCTCTCTGTAAAAATTGGGAATTTTCCAAGGACCATGCAGATGCCTTGTTGTGTCCTACACCTTATCTGAATGCTTAGGTTTGACTGTCTCCAGACTCTCTTGTCGCAGAATGTGAGTGCCCTGTTACTCTGGAGCAGGGCCTGAAATTAACTTTTTCGGCCACCGGCCACTGTGGCAGGTGGATTTAAAAATTCACCTGCCACAGAGACTTTTTACCAGCCACTTTTTTTTTTTTGCCTCATATTTTGCCTCAGCCAAAAATGGCTGGTAAAAAGAACAATATTGTGAAATTCCTGTTTTTTTTTTTCACCTTTATATAGACTAAAGGTGAAAAAAAACCGGGAATTTCACAATATTGTTCTTTCACTTGTAAGAATACACATTTAAGTGCTGTCAAGTAATAATAATAACTCTAAGAACATACATTTTTTAAAATCTTTTTATTCATTGATTTTGACACTCACACAATATATAGGCTAGTATAGGCTATACTCAACAGATAAACCTACCGCAGCTCGTATGTAAACAAATCACGCGCGGCTGTGTTGATGGCTGATTTAGTCACGTAGACAGATCCTGCGAGCTTTTAGTTACAGCGTTCAGGAACCGTTAACTATGAACTAAATTAATAATGTTATTACTGGTAAAGTTACCGGGTACCGAATATTTTCTCACTGGTTCCCAACTCCCAACATGCACAGTTGCACACGCACACACACATCTGTGCAACTGTCATTGTACTGTCGGCTACGTCAGCGTTACATTATCTCATCCCATCTCACCAACAGTTTAATACTCGCACATCCAAACGTAGTCAGAAATAGGGCCTCGTCTTCTTCTGATCGCATGAACGTTCCGAAACAACAGTCGCTGTCATAAATCAGCCGCTCACGAACCTTGCCATTGCCGCCAATTGTCCACTTTGTATTAAAATATCTTCTTTTACTTTTCTTTTTCTCATCCTCATCTTTTTGTTGGTTGTTTGTTTCAGATGGCCTCTTTACCCCAGTAATGTGCCGCCACATTTTAGCTAAAGTCAAACGCAATGGCGGACTTAGTTGAAATGTAAAAATCCTAATGAATCACTCAATTCTCATTGGCTACCGGCCAATGTGGCAGGTAGATTGACAGTGTTACCCGCCAATAGCAAAATTCACCCGCATTTGGCAGGTGGTCGGGTGTTAATTTCAGGCCCTGCTCTGGAGTATGCTGGCCCTACCGAACAACATGCACTGGTTTTGGCTGCGTTAACTGCACGGCTTCATTGTTGAGGCTGATCAAAGTAACCATTTTTCAGTTTAATTGGTAGCAGAGGGAGGTGAAAGAGAGGCACAGAACATTCCCTTCAAATATGTATAGAGCGAGCACGTGTTCACATGCATTCTCATATCCAGCATTTAGGATAAACCACTAACTCAGCTGTTAATGTTACAGCTAAAAATATATATTCTTTTGACATAATGACAGGATGCTGTCAGTGTGCTTTATTGTTTTACTGTGACCTGCAGAGAGAAACATTTAGTAGTGCTGAAACTCGAGCAAAATATAGTTTAACATTAATCAACTCAATAATATCTCGTCTTTCAGCTCAAAAGCTTTTTATACTGTTGAATAGTTACTGTAATACGACGCAATTGCATGCGCTACACACAGGAAACGGCCCTTATTGGGTAGGAATTGTTTAAACGAGAAAAACAGGCCAAAAAATAACCAAGACACACATGCTGGTTAATATTGATGAAGGCCAACTGGTGTTTAGGGGCCTCTAGTGATGTTCTATTGATCGACTGGTTATTGTTCCTGCTAATAGTCAGCTGTGATCTCTTTTAACTACATAAATCATTTATTACAGACCATTATCACTGAGACCAGTTTGGGAGTTCACTCTGCTCTCCTTTTCTTGCCTGAGATATATTTACAGTAGGTGCATGTTCCTTCAAATAGATGCTCTTAGACACACACCCAGAAAAAGTGCATAAAGTTCAGTTTATGTAGGAGTGAGGCAGAGAGAGCTCAGGGTCGACCATAGACCGCCTATGACAACTTTATTTTTGAAGAATTTAAGTAAAGCTTAAAGAGGATTCTAAGTATTTTCCTTCTGCATGTTTCTGCTCATCCATGGGAGTTTGGGAGTAAATGATTCAGCATGTTGTTTTATCAATACATATTTTGTGTTTTCATGTCTACGTCAATATGTATATATTTCTTTTAACTCTGTGTTACCCTGAGCTAATGGAGGGTGAGTGATTCTCATAGTAATGTATTTTCTCTGTCTTTCCTCATCCTGTCCTCTCATCAGGCATGTTCAGTAGGCAGATTAAGATGGTAAAATTATTAATGGCTTATGCTTTTCTTTTCCCTCATGAAAGTCAGCAAGTGTCTGTTTTGCTCTTAATTTTGCTGAGATTTCTCCCACAGTTCAATCGCTGAGCCACACAAATATGGATAATAGATAGCACTTTATTGTCCATGTGCACCGACATTTTTCCTGCAGTACCATCTCCAACAATTACAACTCACAACCTAAAAAAGCTAAAAACATAGTCATCAATAAAAATAGATACTCAATCAATATTATGGGGGCTCCGCCCTCAAAGAGTGGTCTTCAATAGCCATAAATATGTAGATTAAAGGAGGAGTGGGGGAAATTATCACTTCTTTACTCTTGTGTTGATTCAGCAATGATATTGATAGAGGAACAAATGAGTTGTACATAATACAATATTGTTGTCTTATATATCAAAATGTTCTGACTGTCCAAGCACATCTTAAAAGCTATATGTTTGAGGTTTTTTTTTTTCTATTTTAAAAACATCATCAATGTTTTTGCACCTAAATATCTCGCTGAGTTAGTGCAACCATATGTTCCTGCTCGGACCCTCAGATCCAGCAATGATAATCTGCTTGTTGTACCCAAGTATAAACTGTCTACTGTGGGTGTTGTCGACCCTAAGCTGTGGAATAAGCTGCAATCTGATCTTCGTGCAACCCCTAATCTACAGACCTTCAAATTTCAGCTTAAAACACATATATTCACCATGCTCAGAAAATAACTGTTTTTCATTCTATCTCTGTCCTCCACTTTTTCACTTCTTTGTTATATTCTTTCTCTATCAAAATGTATGTTTTTTTCCTTATCTAAACTATTCATTATTGTTGTCTCCATCTGTATTTCTGCTTGTTTAATTGTTATAACTTGCAGATTTCTTTGTCTGTCAACTGTTTGTATTATTTTGTGAAGCGACCTTGGGTCCTTGAATGGTGCTATACAATAATAAACATTATTTTATTGTTATTATATTGGAAGTCTTGACTGAAAACAAAGCATCTAATTCTTGCAATATTATTGAGATGATGGTATGTAGGGTTGGGTATCGAGAATCGAGTATCGATTGGAACCGAGACCAACTTTTTGTTTTTCCCGGAATCGTTCAAAAGTTAAAATTTCGATTCCTAGTTTCGATATTCACAGTCCGCCGAGCGGAAGAAGAAACCGCTGAACAACACCAACGAAGAAGCGTCTACCGGAAGTGTTGGCATAACCACGCGAGTCGAACATGAGTAGCTTACGTCGGCGATCTAAAGTGTGGCTTCACTTTTCTAAAAATAAAGAAATCTCGGCAAAATGCTAAATTTGTGACAAAAGGAGTATTTTTACAGAAGGAGTATTTCCTTGAGAAAGGCCATTGGTTAGCAAGGTTAGCTAAACTTTTTTGACCCTGCCTCTTAAAAGAATCGGAATCGAGAATCGTTAGGAACCGGAATCGAAACAAGGAATCGGAATCGGAATCAGAATCATTCAAATTCAAACGATACCCAACCCTAATGGTATGCTGATTTAGTTATTGCTTTGACATGACTACTGAAACTGAGGTCTGACTCTAGAGATACAACAAGATTCCTGACTTGATTTTTAGTTTTTAGACCCCTAGCGTCAAGGTATGCGTTCACCTTGAGAACTTCATCTTTGTTTTCAATGACTTCAGTTTTGTCTTCATTTAACTGAAGAGAGTTTTGGCACATCCAACTGTTTACTACTTCAATGCAAATTGTAAGCATTTTTTTTTTTCTCCATTATTTGGCTCAGTGGGAGCATTTACAGGTTGAATAGGTGTGGTGCAAGAATTGAGCCTTGAGGGTCCCTTGAGGGTGTCAAGGTGAACAGGAGGTAGAGACACACAGGGCCATACAGACAATTCACTGTCTGTTCAATATGTCTCGGTCCCCTGAATGCACCAGTTCCTTTTAGCTAAACATTTCCTCACACATGTGTGATTTAGGGTGTCGCGAAGAAGGCTGATCCATAATTGATGATCTGTGTTGCTTGAGGAAATGAATAGTAGATTTTGACTGAGGTGATGGAATCCTTTGTTGGCTGAGATCTCTGTGAGAGTCATAAACCACAGTGATGCTCTACATGAAGTCCAAACTGCAGTCTCATATTTCTCTCTCTATATATATATACAGTATTTGTGTGTGTATATAAAAAACAAACAAACAAAAAAAAAAAAAAAGCATACTCATACCCAATGTTTTTTTGCCTTTAGGTGGCTTGCATGCAGCTCATCAATGCCCTCGTAACGTCTCCTGATGAGTTGGACTTCAGGCTGCACATCCGAAATGAATTTATGCGCTGCGGCCTGCGAGAGATCCTGCCGGTAAGCGGCTCCACCACTGTCTGTGTATTAATATTTAAATGAGTTGTCCACTTGAGTGAAATATTGTAAAATGGGTCTGCGAATAATTTATGAGGCCTGAAGGAGAGGTCGCTCTGTTGAATCAATAGCTACAGCCAGGATTGGATTGGTCTCTTTCTCTCGGTCTGTCTCCTTTTGGCATTCTGAATGTGGTTATGTTCTATCAACAAACAACTGAAAACTGCCTGAACAAAACAGGAGAGAAGTGTGTGAAATGAAAGCCTGAGTGTGTGTGAGTGGGATAGATTAATGCCTCACGCATGTCTTATTTATTATTCAAAACAGAGGCTGCTTCAAAAATGGGAGTAGAGAATAAAAAGAGATGGAATGAAAGCAAAATTATTTTGTATTTTTTTTCTAAATACACATTTTTGGAAATAGTTTTGTCAGTGTTTCTCTTTTTTTCCCTCTTAAAGTGGCCATATTCCACATTTTCCCCTGAAAGTCCACTTAAAATTTTAGTCACGTTTTCTTGCGACAAAAGCAGTTGAATGTAATTTTCCCATGATTTTTTTTTCCCCCTCATTCTTGCTGTCTACTTGGAATTGCACCTGCTGTTTTGCTTCTTTATCTGTAGGACTTCTGAATGTAGTTGACCCCTGTTCTGATTGGCTAACGCATAACCTATTGCATATGAAATGAGCAACAATACTCCCACGTTGTTGTTTTTTTCAGAATACTGTTTGTGGAAATGTGTACCATGTGTTAATGTTCTTGTGGTTCAGACATCAGTACTGTGATTATTTTTTTTTTTTTTATAAGCTTTTTTTCACAGCTTAGGCCAAGCACACAAGATGATAGAAGTGAAACTTCACATTTGGATTTTTTTTTATTATTTATATATATAATTGTGCACAATTTATGCAACCAATCTTAGTGTCAAGTCCAATAAGCTTTATTTTTGTATGAATGCGCACTTGGTTTTAATTTACTGCAATAGATTTGGTGGACTGGCAGGTAGTTCCAAGTACAAGCATGCGTGTTTTAGATCGGAGTTATATGTCAACATAGTAGATTTCTTTATTTAAAAAGGAATATCATGTTTTCTATTGCTTGACCCATTTAATTTGTTCTTCTCTTCTTTGTTTAACCTTACGCTTCCCTCGATGTAGAGCCTGAACACTATAAAAAACGATGCTCTGGATATTCAGCTGAAGGTCTTTGAGGAGCACAAGGAGGAGGACATGATTGAGTTCTCCCATCGCCTGGAGGACATTAGGAGTGAACTGGAATATCCTTCTGATGCTGAGACGCATACAATTTCATTTGAAATTCTGTCCACACTTAAACGCTCCTCAGAAAACTCTCCCTCTCCTGTGTCATCTTCTCTTTCTTTCTCCCACTCATTATTTGATCCTTAGAGGACCTCCAACACTAATATGGTGGTCATATGCGGAGTGTAATAATATCACTGATTGCATTGATGTTTTCTTAGATTTAATCAAAACCATAAATCTCCCTTATTCATTTGCTTTCATTTAGTGTTTTACAAGTCTCATGCTTTGACAAGGCTAGTCAATAAGTCATTGCTCTGTCTCCGTGTCTACGTTATTTATAAGAGAGTATGTTCTTTTTCTGTATTTTTCCATTTGTTTCCTTTAATTTACCCGTGGCAGTGCTTGAGTGCTCCTTAACACAGTGTGTACTGATATTGGTGATGTCTTTAATGTGTTATATTGCTCTGTGAAGGACACAAGCGCTGAGAGCCATTTTCTTTCCATACTGCAGCACCTGCTGCTGGTCAGGAATGACTATTTCACCCGGTGAGGAGTGCTTGTTTATGTATTTATTGAATTGTTTTTATTGAGCTGACTAGATGACAAGAGATGGCTATGTAATTTTGGCAAAAAAAAAAAAAAAAATTCTTTGACATGTTAAACATTTTATTTAGTTACTACTTCCTTCACAAACTTCTATTACTTTGATTTTGTTCATTTTGAATTTATTATTACTAATTGATGTATTTTAGAATAACATTAAGGAATGAGTTGGTGTGTTTGAACTGTTAAATAGTATTGGACGCACAAGACGTTTCATAAACTTGTGAAAAAAGAAAATGTCTTTCAAAACCAACTCCGCCACGTTATATTCATCTTATTCATATTCAGTTTTATGAAAATACTGCCTCTCTTCCCTCTACAACCTAGTCTGAGGTTTTTCATTGATTTCGGTCTAATTAGTGCCAGTGATGCAACAGCATACATCTTCATGGCAGTAAAGGTCTCACTAATGACTCAGTGTGTTGTGTGTTGGAGAACAGCTTTTCAAGATCTTTAGCCAGTGAGATGTATATTGTTTTTAGAATAACAGCTTTGACAGAAAAGAGAAGTGCAAAGAGAAATAGAGGTGTAGAGATAGAGGCCATCTGCTGAGTGGTGGTACTGGAGAAAAGCAACACTCTTTCTGCAGCTGATGCACATATCGTTCTGTCTGTCTGTCTCAGACTCTGATTGTCTGTGTATCTCTTTATCTGTCTGTCTGCCTATTTGTCCGTCCGTCTCAGATTGTCTGTCTGTCTGTCTGTCTCAGACTCTGTCTATCTATCTATCTATCTATCTATCTATCTATCTATCTATCTATCTATCTATCTATCTATCTATCTATCTATCTATCTATCTATCTATCTATCTATCTATCTATCTATCTATCTATCTATATGTCTGTCTCGTCTGTCTGTCTCGTCTGTCTGTCTCAGACTGTGATTGTCTGTCTCAGACTCTATCCATCCATCCATCCATCCATCCATCCATCCGAGACTGTCTCAGTCTGTCTGTCTGACTTTCAGTCTCTCTCTCTCTCTCTCTCTCTCTCTCTCTCTCTCTCTCTCTCTCTCTCTCTCTCTCTCTCTCTCTATCCATCCATCCATACACATACACATACTTGCATACTTGGAGGGTGGACCTTTTTGTATCCTGTCCTGCAATTAATCTTGCAAATATACGTATCCTGGAGAACTTGTTTCTTAACACACATCCTGACCAAATATCCATACATTTGCTGTGTCGTCTTTTTGAGTCCTGCTGGTGAATTGGTCGACTATTATTAAACGGTCCCAGTCATCCCAGTAAGCTCTTCTCTCCTCATGAACATTTCTCTCTAAACTCTGTCCATGAATGCTGCTTATTCTTCACAGACAGTCCACACACACCCTGCTGGTCTCTTCCCCCCAAACTATCCAATGACAGTGTCTAACAAAGAGAATGAACCTGCTTTCATCTTCCTCTCATCTCACATGCCCACATTACTGTTCCCCTTCACCATATCCCCCCCCCCCATCCTCTCTCTCTCTCTCTCTCTCTCTCTCTCTCTCTCTCTCTCTCTCTCTCTCTCGTTTCATCTGTGGCGTCTGCTCAAAGAGACTTTTCATGTCTTCGAGCTCACAGCTGGGGGTTTGTTAAACCTGGTCTTGATCAAAAGAGAGGCTCCTAATATGTAGAATACAGGATATATTACTTAGTTTTAAAAACCACAGCAGATAGGCAATGTATACCTCATTACACGCGTTCACATGCCAATTGTGCTCTTCAAGTGGTTGTTTTGCTCTTCCTGAAGTCATTATGGAAAAGAACATTCAATGACCACACATTGCTTATGTTTTCTTTTTATGGTCAGTTATTCCCTATGGGATTGTGGATTTATGTGCCTTTAATGCTGACTCAACCTATAACTGAGAATAGTCATCTGAATTTTTTCATTTGAATTTGTCAACCATATTAGCAGATTTGAGTTTTCAAATATGAGGTTTATTTATGTACATTATTTGTGCCGTTTTCAAACATCTCAATTAGTGAACATGATTAATGGCACTAGAATACTGAGACTTTTTTCATTATAATTGATTATAATTAAAATTGAGACATTATTTTGGTGTGTAATTTTAAACATTATTATATGGTGTCAACTTCAGAGTACCTCGTAGAAATTATGCATGAAAAAGGTCAAATGATCACCTATGATCAAAGAGACTGATTGATCCTAATTATTTCTACTTGAAAGCTCTGCTAGTTTTAATCTTTTTAATGAAAAGACTCTAATTGTGAGTCTAGTTCTGTATTCAGTAACAGAGGCTAAATTTATTAAATGTCAACTCCGTTCATAATATGCAGGCGAATATCACTTCTGTTCTTTAAATAAAAATATATAGATATGCATATGATGAGCTTATATTTGAATAGGGAAGCAAAAGAGCAGGTTAGTTTGATTTTACCAGTGACTCTAAGTGTGAAGTTAAGGACATCCATTGCTTCATGCCACAATTAGTTCACTCTATACATTATTGCATACGCCATCCCTTTTCACTTTTGTTACGTCTCTCTCCATATCCCTCTCCATTTTATATCTCTTTCTGTTTTATGAGTGTCGAGCAGCATCACAGATTTAAAGGACTCAGTCATTTTCATTGCATCAGTTAACAGCTTGTATAAGCCAGTATCGCTACTGTCGAGTTAATTTAACAATTTTTCTCATTTTGTGCCCGAGTCAATGGTACCATATTCCCAAAAAGATAATACAATGCATTGATTTTTTTTTTCCTCCCTCCTCGCTCTCTCATGTTCTCTGTCCTCTAGGCCTCAGTATTTTAAGATCATAGAGGAGTGTGTGTCTCAAATTGTCCTCCATCGTTGCGGCACAGATCCTGATTTCACATACCGCAAACGTCTGGATGTAGACTTCAGCCACCTGTTAGGTGTGTTTATACTCTCACATATGAGTTGGTTAATTTGTTTTTTTACACACTATAATGGTTAACCTCTCCTTCATTTCACTGCAGAGGTGTGTGTGGATAAAGCCAGGACTGAGGAGTATGAACAGAGGGCCTCAGAGTTAGCTCAAAAGGCAAGTGCCCTTTCTTTCCCTCTTCTTTATCTTTCACCCCTACCTTGTTTTCTATTTCTTTCTTCTCACTTTAGCTCCTCTAATGAAGTATGCGGCCTTTGAAGACCATTCACGACTGCACCATTTAGCTTTCTTTAATTAAGGCGAGATTACTTGAAATCGTTCAAACAGCCATTTGTAATTAACAGTATTCTGAGATTAAAAAGGCCCCTGTATTGATTGTTGGGAGCGTTCCTTTATAATTGTAGGCCGAAATGTACGTGGTCGAGGGCAACGGATCTATAAATGCCAAACCACTGCGTTTTAACTACATCCTTTCCTGGTGGCTAGTTAACTTTTAAAATGAGCAACAAATGGTTTCACATCCAGTAAATGATTGGAACTCAAACTTTTATGTATTTCCCTTTGTGAAAAGTTTCATATCTATATTCATCCGCCACAAAAACACCTGTCACTATTAGTTTTGTGCAATAAAAGGTTGTTGCTATTTTTAATTTTGTCGTATGTAAATAAATGCACACTACCAATTAGCGCTAGGATGTTTTAAAGTTTTTGAAAGTGTCTTTTTTCCCAGAAGTCATTAATGAATAGAAAGTTCAAATAAACAGCAAATATTTTAAATGTGAACTCTTGTAACAAAGTAAAATTATTTATTTCCGTAGTGAGCCCAAACTTGAATTGTAGTGCAATAAATCTGCCAATTTGTTTGTTTATTTGTCTGTGATTCTATTGAACTTTTTAGCATCCACTATTAAGCAATGTGTAAGCCTAAACTAGCCTGATTATATACGGTAGCTCATAAAATTTAGATTCGTCAAGACCCTCTACATAATTTTAGCTCGTTGCATGGTAAAGCAGTTTAAAGATTGATCTTTCTTTCTCAATGCAAATCTTCTTACAGAACTTTTTGGATGAACCATAATTAAATTAGCTATGTTTTGTATTTGTTTCATTGTAGTGTAATTATATTTCATTTCAATAATTAGTTCTCAGCCTTAGTACATACTGTAATTAACAGAAGAACACAGTTGAGCAGTACTCAAACTGTCATAAGAACTGTTATGATTGATTTTGTTTTTGTGTATTAGTTTTTGTCATCTGCTGATATGGTTTTGCTCTCCAGCTTGATGAGGAGTTCCTGGGAAGACAGGAAGCTCAAGCCCAGATGTTGAAGAGAGAGGAGAAGATCAATGAGCTGGAGGCTGAACTTCAGGCCTATAGAAACCAGGTATCCATGCACATTTCTTTCTCTTTGTTTTGGCTATTTCTGTGACTGATGGCATTGCTGCAGGGATTCCACTCTTTCTCTAACTCGTTTGTACTTTTGTTTCAGTTGCATCCGTCTAACTTTCTGTTTTTTCTTTAATTCTCTTTCTTTCTGACATTGTTTGTTAACACTTTATTTGAAGGGGTGTGCATAAGACTGACATGACACTGTCATAAACATGATACAACACCTGTCATGAACATGAAGGAGTCTTTATGAATGTTTATGACTGTTGTCGTTAAGCTTCATTCGGTAAATTATGACACTTTTAATGCAAAGTTGACATTGTTTAAAATGCCTTTGTTATGACAACTTGACATTAACCAAGAAATCATAACCTGTCACAAATATGTTGTAACAGGTCTAATTATCAAACTTAAAGAAGTTATTTAGCTTTGTGTTAACATTACATTACCCTGTCATACGTTATGGTTGGTTTTAACTTTGGTTGTCATGACACCATTATAACTGTGTCATTAATATTTTACTTGTCCTCAAGTAAAGTCGAACACATTGTACAAGTTATAAAGATGTCATTAAGGGTTATTACACTGTCAAATGCTTTAACAACAGTGTCATTAATATTTCCCCTTACCTCAAGTAAAGTGGAACACGTTGGACTAGTTATGATTTCTTAGTTAATGTCAAATTGTCATAAAGACATTTCTGTCTTTGTTAATGTCAAGTTGTCTTAACAAAGATATTTTAAAAATGTCAACTTTGCATTAAAAGTGTCATAAAATTACCCAATTACACTTAATGACAACAGTCATAAACATTCATAAAGACTCCTTCATGTTCATGACAGGTGTTATGTCATGTTTATGACAGTGTCATGTCAGTGTTGTGCACACCCCTTTAAATAAAGTGTTACCCATTGTTTTTGTGTTTTTATATATGTCTTTGTTTGGTTAGTGTACATGAAATGCTGTTAATGGGAAATCATGAAACCACAGTGATTACGCAAGTGACGTTTTTGTTTTAATTGGATTTCGATCATATTTTCTAAAATAAACCGAGACAATATGCAGAATTCTTGCATCAGATAAAGATGTTTTTGGGATTAAAAACAATCACTCAAGAAATATTCCGCACTTTCATGGGGATAATGTGAAACTGATTCTAATTCAATTGTTGCTCAGACCAACTGGAAGGCTAATTTGCCACAGGTTCCTTTGGTAGATGGCAATGCTACAATACATTATGTTTGGGGGTAAATTTGAAACCTTGTGCCCTTGGCCAGTGGATTGTTTAGATCCACACAAGCAATACAGCACATCTGTTCTCCCTGGTCTGTCTGGCCTGTAGCTAGCCCCTAATACACACACCTCTCACTATACCATGATAATAATGAAGAGATTTAGCCCACATCCTCGCATTTATGCCATTTTTAATGTGATAACTTGTATGGCAAATATGGTCATCATGCCCCTTCTTTTGCTCAGCCCTACATGCACAAATATTTTGAAGTTGATATTAAACTTGTTTACAGCATTAGGACTTCTTTCTGACAGAGATTGGCACAGTCTGTTGCAATGTTGTCTCTAATTCACCCTGAACAGCTGCTCTAAAGCCCTGATCTTAGCTACTCCATATTTCATTTTAGCTACTCCATATTTCATCTTTTTGAATAAAACTTTTAAAGAGATTTTTTTGGTATACATTGATATATATATAGGATAATATATAATATAATATATGTAGATTGTAGCCTTCAAGCCTATTGGATACTTAAAATGGTCTATGTCTGTCTATCGCTCTATCAGTCCATCAATCATTCTATCAGTCTCTGTATCAGTCTGTCTGACTTGTCTGTCTACTTGCTCACTATTATATTGCGGGGAGCTGACCATATATACAGTATAAACATTTAAAGAATATTAAACGTGTGCCATATTTTTGCAAAGTAGGAATGCATAGTATATTGGCTCCATATTAGGAAAGTATCGGCCATTATTGTTTTTTTTTTTCCTGTGCCACTAATTGCATATGGCAGTTTCTCTCTGTTTTTTTTTTCTTTCTTACTCTCCTTGCTTTGTGTCTGTACTCCTCTCTTCCATTCTGTCCTCGACTCAAGACTCGAGACTCTTCGTTTTTTACGGATGTGCAAACCCCTCCCATTGACATGACAAATAGGGCATCAACTGAACAGTTTGTTTGATCAATTGCTTTTTGGCTCAACGGGCTATCGTCGATAGAGCGGATCAATTCTTAAATGATGGTGGCCAATGAGCGAAGTGAAAGTTTGGAGTGCAGGCAGTTAAGCTGATCCATCTCTTTGGGGTGCGATCGTTTGCAGCAACGCAAAATGTAATCACCCAGTCAATTCTCCACATATGCAGGAGCGTCAGTCATGCTGACTCTTAGCCTGTGAATTATCTGGAGGCCGGTTTGCGTGCAGTTTGAATTAGAGCACACCTACTTGTTCAATAAATCCCCTCCCCACACCCTTGCAGCTGTTTGCCATTCAGAATCAATTGAGTGAATACACTAGTGTAATGTATTGTACTTGTTTTCTCTGAATGTTTGATAGGGGTTTGAGGTGTTTTTATCAAGGAAAGGGTCTTATTAATCTTTTATATTTACTTTTCTGAGTAAATCTGGAAGGACAGGTACTGTAAGTCTCTGTTGTACATAAATGATACTGTTACAAACCTTTTGTGTCTAAGGAGAATAAGGCTTGCAACATTAAAATACTGAGCTTGTACTGGAAAACATTCAGTACAAGCTGTTTTCACAAATATATTAAGCAGCACAACTGTTTGTTTTTTTTACTAACATTAATATTAATAATAATAATGTTTCTTGAGCACCAAATCAACATTAGAATTAATTCTGAACAAAAATGGCTGCTGAATATTCAACATTTACATTTTGAAATATATTAAAATAGAAAACAATTTTATTGAATTGTAATATTTCAAAATATTACTGTTTTAACTGTATTTTTCAACACATAAGTGCAGCCTCTGACTTCTTTCAAAAACAGATATCTTGCTGAAGTTTTGAAGTTAGTTTAGAAACAAGAACTGAATTAATATGAGGGATGTTTCTTCTCTTTCCTACCCTTTTGTTTTCTCTTTTCACAGTGCGGAGCCGTTCCAGTGGTCTTGTCTTCAGTGCAATCTGTTCCGGCCTCTTCCTCATGCCCAACTCCTCCTCCACCTGTTCCTGGGGCTGCAGCTTTGCCACCCCCTCCACCTCCACCACCTCTACCAGGCTGTGCCTTCGTACCTGGGATGCCTCCACCCCCTCCTCCTCCTCTGGGACTGGGTGCCCTGACATCCTACTCAGTCCAACACACGCTGCCTTTCGGCCTGAAACCCAAGAAGGAATTCAAACCCGAAACTTCCATGAAGCGCCTCAATTGGTCCAAGGTAAAACTTTTTTTTTTTTTTTTTTAACCATAAACTACATTTTTTTAGTCTTTAACTTCACTCAAACCCTTGCGGGACAGAATCCTCCTTTGGTGCTCAAGCAGCAACAGCAGACTTAAAAGACAGATGTTTGCGAAGTAACCAAAGAAAACTTCTTCTGTTTGCTGCCAAGCATCATTAAAGGAATGTTTCTCTGCTGTGAAGGATCACACTTTACTGTGCGAATTTCTGCTCTCGTTTCTCGGCAGATGTTGCGATACGATGTCTTTTGAGTTGTTAGTTTATAACATTACTATTAATATTTAATCTCTGTCCTTTTTGCCACCGTCATACAGCTGTTTTTTAAAGATCTGCCATATGCTTCATCTCATCCGAAATCTGTTTGTAATTAGCCATTAGGTGGACACAAAGATGCTTTTTAAACAGCTGCTTGAGAAACTGACGCCATACAATATTCATGACTCCTGACCCAAGACTTTTATCACTCATTAACAAGAGCTTTGCAGCTTAGAAAGTCAAAGACGAGGCAGCTGGTGCATCATGGGAAACATGCCACCCCATGCCCGTCAAAGGGGCTGAACATAGTAAGGCATGTTCGCTTAATCACTCTCGCAGTTGGAAACGTGGGTTAATCACTTCCACTGAGAGGCTGCTCTTCAGACTCATTTTCTGTCCGTTCCTGATTGTTTGATTTCTTTGAACATGTCCTCATGGAGCAGATTTGAAGAGCCATTATTGGCTCAGGTATTTGGCAGGAGTGTGAGGTCTGTTCATTAGTGCAGCCAGTCTCATTGATTACCCTTTGAGTCTTTATCTTAACAAGAAGACTCCTTTTAAACTGCACTCCCGCCTCAAATGATTATCTCCAGCATCTTCATTGCAGCGCTTCATGGGTGTTTTAGCCATGTATTTGTGTCGCCTGTGTGTGGGGATATATGACTGGAGATCGTCCTGTATTTTCATATACTTCAGCTGCCACACACACTGACATGTGTGAGAACAAAATAAAGACCTGCGATAGAACACAATATGAATATTTGAATAGGTTTCCTCTTTACTTTTTCATAAACCCACCTCACTGTTTCTATGCATCGCCAGCATCTTGACCCAACGTGATGTGTCATGATGATTTCAGGCCGTGTTTTATTTATTTCTTTGCTTGCTGCCTTCTGTGTCTCTGTAGATCTCACCCCAGGAGATGTCCGAGAGCTGTTTTTGGGTCATCGCCAAAGAGGATCGGTACGAGAACGAGGACCTGCTCACCAGGCTGGCCATTACCTTCGGTACACAACGAGCCGGTCAGTCAATGTTAATGGTTCTCTAATGGTTTTAATTTAAACTTTTTTTTGCCTAGCTACAGTTGCCATGTTTCCATCCAAAGTTGCGAATTTTACTTTTGCACAATATTGGAATATTGCATAAAACATTTGCAAATAAAGTGTGTTCTAGAAAAAGTCCCTTCCTGGAAAAATGGGCCCAAAATATCTGTAATAAAAATGGAAGCTTTTCTCATAGATCATAAATGACGCACTAATTGCTGTAACGTTTCTTGTGTTCGGATGCTGATGCCTTGTGTTTGGGAACACAAAAGTATTCTTGTAGGTAATTATACCTATCATTTTGATTACAGACAATGGCTCATGCATTTCAGAATGACCAAACCAACATTTGAGTTGCTGTGCAATGAAATTGGTCCGCTTTTTTGTCCAATTATCCAATCACATATTCTGTTGAGGCAAAGTAACATGAGGTTTATTTAGTGCATTAATTTTTTTGTTGTGCATTTACCAGTAAGATATTGATTTGGTAAATGTATGTTCCAATGTAGTGTTTTTTTATGCATGTTTATAACTGTTGCTCTGAGTATCTTAACAATTGCATTTTTAGAAACAAACAAAGTTTCAACAAAGTTCCTGACAGTCTAACCTCCAGGCTTTATGTGGCGCATTTTCTTAATAAAATACAAGCATGATATTGAAGAAAGAGTCAGCACTAAACTATATTAGACTGCTATATGCCTACAGCAAACTCACTTCCTGTCAGTAAATGCAACAAAACACAGTTGCTCAGTGGTTAGCCAATCAGATCTTAAAGAACACAAGTTTTAGCTTAGGATTTTGAATGTTTTATTTTGGTAGCACCATTTTCTTGTATTCAAATTGAGAAAGTGAAAGTATTCAGACTTAAAATGAAGAGTCGGCTTTAAAAATATTCTACCTTCATCAGTCGGACTTGTAACCTTCCTTGAATGAACTATATGGGCTTTAGAGACAAAGAATCCCCAAGCTGTATGTATGTTCCCTCCAACTCTTCGACAGGACGTTGCCTGCTGCTGTTAAGATTGGGTTTGTGTACTGCTACCCACACACAAACACTAAATAAACCAAAGGGAGTTAGACACACCAGAAATTAGTTTTGGGTTTAGTCATTTAAACACTTTTACAGCAACAAAATAATTAAGATCTCTCTTCCCCACTTTGCCCAACCCCCCGCTGATGATTTATTCACATTAAGCCTGTTTTGAATTGCTCCGGCATGTTGCTTTACTTGATTTTTCAATTATTCATATCAGCAATGTCTACCTGTCACTACTCGGCTCTATATGCAGATATCTCTTTCTCTCTCTCTTCCATCTTTCTCAGTACCCACAGGGATGATGTTATGTGACCGAACCTTGAATTATGCACAGTTTAAGATGTCTAGCTTCAATAGGGCAAATGGTGAAAGCGTGTTTTACAAGGTTGTCAGATTATTTAAATTATAATGTGCATGAGGCAGATATTTGACACGTTGGTTGAATCCTACTTTAATTATGCGAGCATCATCTTCAACTCCGTCAGGTAAACAAAGGTCATCTTCCTCATTGTGATTTCTTTCTCACTTTCTTCATAGCTATTTTATCTGTCCATTTTACTTGTGAACGTAAGTGAAAAACTTTTTAACGAGTTTGCTTCAAAGTATCCACTGGATGCTTTAGAGTGTTTTTTGTTGTAAGAGAAGGCTTTGAACTAACCGTGTTTCGTTTTATTCCGGGTAATGTCATTCCAGATCACTTCAACTGAGGCGACCAGAACAATGTGTCAAAGAAAATCTACACCTACATAGTAAATACTATAAATTCACTGTGACTTTTCAGAACAACTACTGGTTATTGCACATTCAGGCAACAGCTAACCAGTGCCATTCAGATTACTGTATGGATAAAAATAAAAGCCCATAAATATATATTTAGATTTCTGAATATAGAAATAATAGTGGGTATATACATATATTTGTATTTGTATTTGCTTTGAATTAAGTGCAGTAACAATACTGTATACTTATAAGCAAGTCTTTATACATCCCAAATACACATCATCTTATATTTTAGGATAGGTTATATTTAAAATGGATCATCACATTTCAGGGTCTTTGACATCAAAATGCACCTTTTGTAATCACTAATGAATGCAAGTCTCATTGGTACCAATTGGTAAATGGCCGATAGGCTTCATGTTTGTTAATTGCAAAATGAATGTCAAGTGTCTGCTTTGCACAAGATTGACCCTCTTAGCTTTTGCCACTCTAACCGCTCTGTCTAGGTTAGATTATTTGGATGGACTTTATAGTCCTGCTCTGTATGTTAACCTAAAGCAGGATTTGGTGCTGTCAATCATACGCTCTCCAATCTTTGAGAAATAAAGACAACCTGTCAGATTCCACTTCGCTTTACTTCAGGCCTGAGAACACCTTGTTCCCTGACGGGATTACAGAACTCATGACAGCTAAAAACCAGACTTCCTCTCCTGTTGTAAAGAGCCAAGCGCTCAGCATCTCCGTTCACCCAGGGGCCCATCAGAGTTCTTTCACATCTCACTCGCAGATGGACTCCTTCTCTGTCTCCTTTCACTCCTCCTCAAGTGTATTTTGGAGCTGCGGCGAGTGCTTTTGTATCAGTTTTATTTATTCATTGCATTTCTTTAAGGAGCAGAAGCTAACGTTTTGAATCCTCATGTCAGGACTGCATCCGTAAAGGCAGGCGCACCGATCCCCCACTCACTGCTCTTTATCCCGTCTCACAAGCTTTCTTAATTTCCCTTAAGTGCACCAATATCTAGAGCCCAATTAAACATTAACCAGAAGAATCAAGACTTCTACTCGCTAAAATATTAATTTTCACTGCTGCTGTTCATTGTTCTCTTCTGCTGTTGTACTCGCCATTGTTCGTCCCTGAAATGACTGCTCTGATTGAACAGACGTTTGATTTTTACAGTCTGAAAAGTCTTGCTATTTTGCCACATCCTCTTCCCGTCAAAGCGGCACATGTAGGAAACAATCACCAGCAAGCTTATTAGAGCAAGCTTGCCCTGCCTCTGTCTTTCATCAACCCTCTATCACAGTGATTCAGGCCTTTGTTGGACCATTGAGTGATTGCTGGAATTGAGCCCACACAAAAAAACACATGCCGTGCAATCTGCCACCCTGATACTACCGTCTGAGTTTCACACAACTTGCTAAACTTATCAATCAGTCAGATGCCAGTCTTCCACATTGGCATTGGGTGTTTGAGTGTAGGATGACCAAGAAACCTTAGTAGAGGAGTGCAGGAAGGATCTGTATGAAGGATTTTGGATGCTATTATATTTGGTCACTTACTACTCTGTTTTAATAGTTCTTATTACACACTTGTAATTGACATTATCGTTCTCTCTTTAAAATGAGTCATACCGTGATTTTTCTTTCTTTTCCTCCAGTTTTGAACTTGTGATAATTACTGGACATGCTATCTTGCCCTCAATCCAGAATTTGATCCATCCATTTATTGAGTTTGGCTTAGACCTAATGATTCTTTGACTGAAATAATTGTGGAACATTCATATCTTTAAATTGTTAAATATAATAGTATACTTTCTAGCAAGATGCATCAAATTTACGTTTACATTTATACAAAAAAATCAAATAAGGTTGTTCCTTTGAACTTTCTGTTCATCAGAATCCTAAAAAGAAATGTATCTTGGTGTTTATTAAGCAGCACAACGGTTTTCAACTGTAGCCACATCTCCATTACCGTTTAAATTGCGCAAATTGAAAATACGCCCAATGGAAACGTCAATATTGCAAAAACCAACATCTATTGCCATGATTTTTGAAATGACTTATTACAAGAGGAAAACATTTATAAGTTTTAGTTGCTTAACATTGGTTAATGGAAACACCGTCATTTCGCAAATTGTTTTTATCAACATTTAGAAAATAAGTTTTGCGCAAATCTGTAATGGAAACACGGCTAGTGATAAAGAACTTTCTTGATTTTTGAAGGATACTGTTGAGTATAGGCTGCTGAAAATCAGCTTTGCCATCGCAGGACTGAATTACGTTTTAAAATATATTAAAATTGAAAAGACTTACATTCAGTTGTAATAATATTTCACAATAGTACAGTTTTTACTGCATTTTTGATGAAATGAGATTTAGGCATTACAAATCGCTATCCCATGGGGTCTTTAAGTCGACTTAAATCAGTAGATGAACCGAATTGTTCATGTTGTCTTTTGAAATATAAGGATAAGAAAGCAATTTGAGAGCATACAAAACCAAGGAAAAAAAGATAAATGTTTTATACAATCCTCTTATTACTGGTTAGCAGAACCTCCAAATGCTTTATTCACATTAAATTGGCAACGTGCACTCAGAGCTTTTCAAGATTGTAAAATATAATATTTTAGTATTGCACACCCCATACCACTGTGTCATACAATAAAAAAATAAAATTGACCCCACACACAAAAATGAAACAAAAATTTGATGTGACAACAAATAAATGCAAGCTCCAGCACTATTATTTACAACATTGAAAATGCTGTTATTTAAGCAGACAAACAAACATTGTTGTGAACCTTTTCATTATAAATCTGTCACTTTTCTCGATTTATTTATGGCTTCCCTTTATTTCAGGTTTCAGTTTTTTTTTACTCCTTCCTGAAATAATAGCGAGAGAGTACGAGCATCTTTAACAATGTGGTCTTTGCTGCTTTAATGGCTGGTTATTTTGTTCGGAAAATATTGCGAGTTCTGAGGCGAGCGTGTCCCTCTTGTCAGATGATGTTTCCGCTGCCCCATTGACTTGAATGTGCAAGGGAGCAGCTGTGAGTGTGTTCACTATGTGTGACTTTGTATGTATGTCATCTGTCACGCCTGCTTTGTGTTTGTGAGAGAGTGTGAGCACAGGTGTTGTAGCCTCTGAGTTGACAACATCTGCAGGGGCCAAATCTCTTCTCCACCCACCCCTCCAGATGTGGCCCATCCCGTGGGAGCAGGT